AAGTGTTAAAATTTGGTGAAAAGAATCTCACCTGAAGTGACAAACATATACAGTAGAGTAGTCAAGCTTTTACTTAACCTGTTGCTAGCAGTGTGAAAGGAGTAATCACCTTGGATCTGATTATCTAGGCTGACTCAGCAGTCAAAGAGCACTGACCTGATGGCAGCACATGTGTATCTGCATAAAAGGGGAAAAATACCCTGGCTTTCAGACCATCCCTATTATCTCCACAACTTTACCCTTGCTTAGGTTACATTTCAGGGTTACAGTACAGGAGGCGTGAGTTGGTATGCAGTGGCTGCTCTGACAGAGCTCTGCTGGAACACAGATACTCCCACAGTGCTACAGGTCCTGTCTCACCACATAAGCTAAGGGAGGCACACTTGTTGCATCCAAAACTACTAGATCAAATCCAGGTTCATTACTTATTTTGTAGCTCAGTGACATTTCCATCAAATCATACAAGCTCTAACAAATTAAAAAGTAACTCTGGTCCACTGACTCTGAAATCCTATGTACTGCAGTAGATATTCTTACTAGCCCATAATATTGTGGAATGAGTCATACAGAAATGTTTATGAATATGAAAAAATAGAATTAAGAAGATGACATGTCATTTTGATCTTAATATTAAATTCTGAACTTCAGTCGTGAAAATCAGTGCAGATTACCTCTTTATATAAAGGTATTCCAGTACTGCAAATTCCCCCAAGCAGCACATTTTGCAGATACAGCAACTTTCTTATATGATTGTGAACAGTAAGCAATCCATGGGCAACACTATACAAGAGTAAAAGGATGAACAGTCTTACACATAAAACCTACTAAACTAAAACCACAAGGCTCTGTTTTCAAGCCATTCAAAAGTCGAATTCAGAAGCATTACTAATGACAGGCACATGTAATAAGAGCTGTGTGGTGAAGCAATGCATCATTGCGGCCAGATTTACAGCCAGATCATTACTTTAGAAATATCAATAGCTGGATAAGGTCCAAGCTACTTCCTCATCAAAGCAGTGTGACTCTTGACTCAAATGAAAATAATAACCTCACTTTGTGGAGACAAAGTCCTGATCAATAATGAATCTTAACGTGTCTACAGGATCTTTTGCCTTTTCAAATGTGAATTAGTACTGACACCTTCTTAGCATTCTGCCAACTGTGGCTACTCACTGAAAGCTGAGTGGCAAATGTGGGCTGCTGGAAGTTGAATTAAAATGTGATATTTGAAGTGTGCTTTACCATGAAAACTACGATACCACTGTAAAAAGCGGCTGAGGGAAAACTAGAGAAACATTTGACTGTGGTTATTAAATGTTTGATATGAAATGTAGTGTGACACACACATTGTTAGGGCCCTAAAACATCACACAAGACCTTAGTCCTTCAAGCCACCTCTCCAGGTTTTGGAGCCAAAGGACAATCATCAATCTTTTCAAGTTTCTCATGGATTGCCATACAGCTTGCTCACCAAACTTGTAACTGAAAATACTACCAATTTTGCTGTTTAATAGAACACTACAGATTAGCTGTGGCCCACATATCAAGAGAGACACAACTCTGGACTGCACAGATTTTGTTCCTCTACTCAAACTTCTGACACTTTGTCTTTCAAAACAACCCAGTATTCACCAAGAAGGTCCCTGGAAACCTCTGGGACAACAGGAATTACTAAATTAGACCCCTGACCCATTTAATCCTTTCTCTGGTAACATGAAGATTCAAGAAGGTAGGCACTCATGACCACCACAATAGGTTTCAACTCTGATTTTCTGTGTAACTCAATGATTGACTTAAATGCTAAATTGCAGGCTTTGCTCTTCATTCTGCATTTTTATTATCATAAATCTGGATGTGAATTATAGCTTTAGAATCACTACATTCCTAAAATATATTTAAAAACATGTTCTGAAGGTCTCAATTCTATGGCTAACGTTCACATGATGAAAGAGGGTAATTTTAACTGATTGCCTGTCCAGGCTTCCTCTGTGATCAAGTTCTACGCTATATCCACAAGCATGCTCACACAAATGCAGAATTCTCCATGGTCTGGGAAATCTGTTTTACTAGTAGTAGGTTAGGACTGAGTCCCCAAATAAGCATCTTGTACATTTTGTCATTTAGTAAGCATTACAGTAGATGTTAACATTCAAAATACTCACAGCCACTACTCTGATAGAAATGTAAGTATCTCAAACATGCATTTGAAGAGACATTCCTGCAGGACTGAGTGGAAATTCATCAAAGAGCATAAATGCTTGCCTAAACACCCACTGAAGTTGGCAGCACAAATGTATGTGAACCTTCTGACTGAATCAGGACCACTAACTGCTTCAAGCCATTTTTTTAATCTGGACTTCCAGAGGTGTCACAACCATTCCACTCACACGTTCTGCACTGCATAGTTGCATGAATAATGTTTCATACATATATGCATGATATATACAGACTCCAGAAGCAGAAAAACACATTTTACTCATAGCATTTCAAGTCTTCCCTGGAGCACTTATACATATCTTAAATTCTAGAAACCCTGACTTTTGTAGTATTTCTGCAGAAATTAAGCTTGTCTAATGTTTTCTCAATGAAGACCTGAAAAACAGGCTTCTGAACTCATGTTTATATGCTTTAAGAAACTACATGATTTTTAAAAGCAATGAGCCTCAGGTGACTGGTGGATTTAGATGAGAGGTCTTCTAAGAGAGATGGAAAAAATGCCTAATCTGCTCCCTTTGTCATTGGTAGGAGTATTAGTGTTGAGCTCAGCAGAGCTCAGCTGCTAACTTTTAGACATCTGTTTTTGAAAACAGGTAGTCATAGGAACTGAATACCAAAGAACGGGACAGGATTTTCAGAACACCACAAATGAAACACAGTCCCCGTTTCTGAGTGTTTACTGTCATCGCTTGCTTGAAAAACTAACAGGTGTATGGGAAATAGGAGAAAGATGTCTTCTTGTTTCAAAATAATTTTAATCCTATCGTACCTCCTATGCCTAAGCCTTGAAAGAGTAGATATGCCATCTGTTTCAGTAAAAAATGAAAAGCATATATGTATACAAACCCACATTTAATTGGGGCACTCCAGGAACTAGGGAGAGCAAATAAAGAATCTATCTTTAAAATATTAAACATGGAAAATTACAAAAACAATAAAACATCTGTCCTTTCAGCACTCTAATACTCGGGGTAATGTTCACCTACTGCAATTATACTCATAAATTTTCCTCAGAGCGTCACATTTCTGTGTTCATCAAAGCAACACAAAGTTCATAATTTACAGCAACAGACTGAAGCAGTTCAGCAAGCTCAGTTCTCCCTGTTTCTAATTTTCAATTATTGGTTATTAGTAGAATCTTCTCAAACACATATCTTCGAGGTGCATTTTCTTTTAGTGATTGAGTTTCTTCATACTGCAGCTGATGTACTTCTCAGCGTTTTAGTTATAATTACCAAATTCAGAATGAAAATGAAAACTACTTAATTATGTAATTGTCTTCCAGACAGCACAATAATTAAAGCCCTCAGAAAAGAGCCCAGAGGCACTGACTGCACAGAAAGGTAAAGAACATATAATATAGGTGTCTTAGAAAACGACTATATAAAACATTTTAGGGAAATAAGTTACATATGCATCCCTGGACATATGCTTTGAGGAACTGTATACCTTAATCAACACAGGATTTACATAACAGAGCACGTGCAGCAAGACATACCACCATGATCTGTTTGTTCAGAAGTTCTTAACAGACTGAAGCTATACATGAAATGACAAGAAATAAGGTGAAAATAAAATGTGTGACACATTAAGAAGAAAAATTAAAAATATAGGTGGGATTAATCTGCAAATAAAGCAGTTAAAAGTTTACTAATCAATGTATAAAAAATAATAAAAGCTGAAGATGTTCTTGTTGAAGGACTAATCTAGAAAGATATCTCTAGTGTGACAGATCCTCAAGCAGTGGTATTAAAGGTGTGCAGATGCCATATTAAAAGACAGTGTACTGTAAACTTATTTAGACACAGATCTCCAAGTTATTATGCTTTCCTAAGCTCTGGAAGTATCTGCAGCTGCACACAGCAGAACCCAAACCAGTTGGACTCTCTTATACAGTGAAAGGTTAAATCTAAAGAAGTTTCACAATTATAACTTGCATGAGAAATTCTTCAGTTAAATCCAAGAGAAACACATTTACCTTTCTAAAAAGCCTTAACCCCTCCATTCTAGCTTTGTGAGGTAATGACACAGGACAGGATTAGGCTATGATCAGATGGTGGGCCTTGTTAAAAACCACAGAATTTCTGCTGCTGCCCAGAGATAGGAAGCATGACTGTGTGCACACTGGACAAGTCCCACCAGCTGCAAGGGGTGATACAAGCCCTCAAGTGCTCAGAACCCATGTGGAGAATGGCCCCTCTATATATAACTTGCACCACCTCTGAATTAACTGTGCCAGAGTTATTATGCTATTTCTCCTGAATGCCATCACCACACAGAAAATGCTGTTACATTAGAAGAATATGTGAACAATGATTTTCTTTTTCATGCTAGAAGCCTCAAACTGCTACACAAGAAATTAGCTTCCTTCTGTTCCCAGAAGTTAACACTCATTTTGCATGTGTTTTGGCATTTGGCAGTACATAATTACTGGCTACACTCTTTGTCATGAAGTACTTTCCTTTTATAATTAAGAAATCCTTTGAATTGTGGACAGTTAGCTTTTCTACTGCTGACGACTGCAACCAATTAGTATGTAAATTACAAGTTGACACTGACAGCTCTTATGGGCAAGATAATGCTCATGAACCAAAGGCTACCTGTGCTTAATGCATGATCAATAGAAAACACTGATTTTTAGAAGCTTCAAAGCATTTATCTTTGGGTGGATCGGAACACAGAACTGCTTGCTCCCTGTGAACCAAGGCACAGGCTCAGTGAAAATGAGAAGATGAAAATTTCTTTGGAAGTCTTCTTTCACTTCCCATCTTTACAGTTCTTACCTTCACTACACTTGGACTCGCACCTCTGTGATGCTCAGTCTGTGTGGCACTCATGAAAAAAAGGGATTCTGGAAAAGAGATATAAAGGAGTCAAACCACTCCTTGAGACTGTGAGATCTTTTAACAGTTCCAGAAGTGTTATCCAGTGCTTGAATACATTAGGACACAGCATCCTTCTAATCAGCTCCTGCTTCTGCCTTCCAAGTTCCCTAAGTGCACTTTTTGTGGCTATAAAGCACTAACAGATATCAAACTTTTTATATAAATATGCCTATACAGCAGGTCTCAAACTGTTTATATAACTGTATTTATATGTAAAATTGGTGGTTTTCCAGTGAAACTACTGGTTTGATGTATTTATTGTGCACTTGGATACATGCCTGAAATTAGATTTGAGGGCATTTGCTAATTCTCCACTGCAACCGTTTTACTACTGTTTCTTCATAATCCCATGAAAAAAACACCTCAGCAACAACAAAACCCCCCAAACAAACAAAACACACACACACAAAATCCAAACCAAACAAAAAAACCCACTTCTACTCCATTTTGGTCCTTTCAGCTGTTATTTCCCTGCTTTAAGAATTTGTCACCTCAGGTACTACTTGATACACATAAGTCCACGAAATTTCCTTAGAATTTACAAAATACATAAAATAAGCTTGATACCAGATTCCCGTAAAGGGATAAATTTACAACAAACAGCCTTTGTTACTTCAGTGAGGAAAGACGCGTTGACTAAACCTAACAGAGCAGGCTGAGTGCCACCGACCCCGCGTCCTAAGCCCCATGGAAGAAAGCAGTCCCCCGGAGACACGTTGCTTCCGCGGACCCGAGCCCCGTCCCACCGCCACAACCGGACCGCTACTGCGGCACCGGGCCCTGCCCGCTGCTCCGCCACAGCCACGAGTGCCCCCTGCCGGCGCGGGAGGGCGGCAGCCGCGGCGGCTGCGCGGGAGGGCAGCGGCCCCCACAGGCCGAGCCGCCGGCGACTATCGGGGTGCAGGCGGGAGGTGGGGCTGTGTTTGCAGCGTGGGCAGGGGCAGCATCACTGGCCTCGCTAATTCTGAGGCTTTAGGCTTCACAGAGGGGAAAAGCAGAGGGGAAAAGTACGGAAGCAAACGGTGGGTCCCAAAGCCGCGGCACCGCACCCGCCATGGCCCGGCCCGGGGCCTCGCCACTCTCAGTGGCCTCCACACGTACGCCCACAACCGCCAGTTCGCTGACACCGGCTCGGCTCGGCCTTGCCCGGTCCCGCCCTACCGAAGCAGCCGTCAGTCTCGGCGCCCTGCCGCGTCCCGCGCTCCCGTAGGCTGGCGGTGCCTCAGCGACAGCCAATCAGAAGGCAGTTGTCAGGTTCTCCAGTCTATTTTTAGCGTGAGCGAAGGCTAGCCGGTGGAGGAGTGTGCATGGGGAGAGGGGCGCGCAGAGAGATGCTTACACGGTCAAAGCGAAGCGTCGGCGGCATTGAGCTGCTTGTCGACTAAAGCCGGAGCGTTAAAATAATACTTTAATGTCGATGGCTGCTGCAGCCGAGGATGGCTCTGCGGACCGCTCCATCCCCTGGCTTCACGGCTTTGCTTTCCCCGGCCTTGAAACGCTGAGAAGGATGGCCCTGTGCTGGTGCTGCATGCAAAATGGCTGCTCCCTTTACCCCTGCACACAGGCGGAGCACAACCTCTTGAAATGTATAGTGGCAGGAGGAAAGTTAGGATTACTAGTATGGGCTAAATTCTGCATCTTCTGAAGTTTTAGTCACGCATAAGGTAGCTGGTTATTTCTAACTGATGTGCTTCTGGCACATCGTTACTACTGACTAATGATAAATACATAGGTTCTGGAGAAGCAAGACGAGATACAAACGTAGATAATAACAACACAGAGTATTTTTGAGGGTTCATATGTTTCAGGTAGCTGGAATTGCATTGTTGTCCAGTTTCTCATTGAGGTCCAGATTCAATACAGTGTTTTCCTACATCCTTGAAGGATTAGACATGTGCTGAAGCATTCACTGGAGTACAGGGATGAAGCAGGGCCCCTGGGTTAGTGAAGGGAAGGCTGAAGTGCAGTAAAGAAAACTGTCCTAATATTTAAATTTACTTAAAGCAGTGGCAATATCAGTATACTGTAGAAATGTCAAGGAAAAAAAATGTTCTTACTAAGTAAGTTTTTAAGACTCTTCTGTAAGTATAAAGAGTTTAGACATCTGTCTAAATACACAGGTATTTTGCCACAGGTGATCAACTCTTCAGGGGTTTGTGCATAATGATGGATCATAATAGATTCTTGGGCTTTGTAGTAACTTGCTCATATAAAATACAAAGAGCAGATGAAATGCAGACCTGTCTGTGCAGTAGATCTGCAGCCCCCAAAAGGAGTAAACTGATCTGCAGACCTTGTGAGCCCTACAGCACAGAAATGGATTTCGGCATCCACATGCATTGAGAGAGTATTGTACACCTTGAGAAGAAAATCTTGCAAAATCAGACAGCCTCTCCAAAGTAATCCAACAGCCATTCGCTGTACAATGAAAAGTGTTCCCTGACAAATCTTGCAGTATCAGGGCAGAAATTTGCCTGCCTGCTCTTTGTCGTCACCAACCCATGTGATGGTCATTGTAAGGCTGTTCCAAAATCCTTGTCCTCATTACTTGATCCCCATGGATGCTTTTCAGTTGCCAGTAGGACATACCAAATCGGCAGTGAAACAAAAGAATGAAGTCTGTTGCAACAATGTTTGGATGCCATTTAAAAAAAAGTAGCCTGTGGATTTAAAATTTGCTTGGAAAAAAATAAAAGCTGTTTATTCTGTCATTGCCAGAATATTGATATAGTCAGAAGCATTATTTCAGCGAAATTTTTACATGCCATTGAACGTTTTCTCTCTGTTCACGGGTTGTCAGTCTTACATGCAGATTAAACTTAAGTTCTCACAGAGGAAGTTCACGCAGCGTGAATTCCGTTAGCTTTGCTGATCCCATTATGCACGATAATGTGAGAGTGAAGATTGCTCTGCATAAATATTCATCTAGCATCTTTCAAGTTTTCACTTTTCATTCTACTGCTGCCTGACCCTGTCTGCCACTTTTCTCTGAATAATCATTACTGCTGAGTAACCCATTTGGAGAAAAATGCATTTGCAAGACTAAAATATCCAAGCAGCACTGGACTTGTGAATTGTGACTAGGACACGTTGCAGACCATTGCAGTGTATAGCTGTGGATGCTAAAATGTTCTAATGTGCTGTTGGAATTGATGTGCATTTTTCTCTCAAAGTGTCATGACCTCTGGCTCACACAGAGGCCATACAGAACATGTGGGTGGCAGCACCCCAGTTTTCACTCTTGTCACCCTGAGTCCAAATTATATGTTTTCCTTGTTTTAATTCCAGTAAGTTTTGAATTGTCTCAGTGACTTTTTAGTGCAGTTTCTATAGCTTCCCAACCTAAAGTCTCTGCTTTTTGCAATGAGGTAAATTGGAATGGGTGCAAATGACATAATGTGTTGTGTTTTTGTGGAGGCGAGGAGTCAAGTCAAGGGCTCTTTCCATAGCAAGTGAGTTAAAATGACTACACATTAGAGAATTTAGCCCAAACATGATAAAATCTACCACAGTTCTCAACAGGACCTGGGATATGAGTGCCTGCTCTCCACTATTGTTAACTCAAGCCAGTAAAGGAAATTGCTGTTGTGGTCTGTTCCCAAATGCACTGCTTTGTCTTTCAGACTGTGTGTTTCCAGCATGTGAGAACAGGCACAGATTTTCTAGGTGAGCTAACGAGATTGCATCCCCATCCCCCTCTAATGGGCTGCAGTTTGTGGAGTGTACTTAACTGAGCATGTGATGGCTGTGCTATTAGCTGTTTGTTTTAGGGGAAGACTGTGTCTGAGTTTGTCCCCCACCCCCTACAGTTATGCAGCTGAGTTTCTTACATTTGGGAAAATCAGGGTCAGCACCCCTGTAATGCAAGGAATGACCATCGCTGGGAAAATTATTCTCCAGATCATGGGGTCTCACATCTGTATTGCCTTGCTGTGACTTCAGGGAGATGAGCATGATAAGCTTTTCAGTGCCTCAGACGTGCAGTCACAACTCCCTCATACAGAGCTCTTCTACAGAAGAAAAACCATCCTGACTCGCAGCTGCCTGAGAAAAGCAAGAGACACTGCAGGGATGCATCCCCATGGCAGGAGTGTGATGAGCCATTTCACAGGCTGCGCTACAGGTCTTCCCAAAGCTTTCGTTGTGCAAAGCATTGGAGAACACAACCTGTTCTCCCATGCAGTGCTCCAAGACATGCTGGCAAAGGGACAAACACTACTTACGTATAGTTTTGCCAGGTATTATCATAACGCCTTTTTTCTTTCCCCTGTTTTTATCCAGCTAGAATTCCCATAGACAACACTTACATAATTACTCTGGTTATCAGCTTGACATCTTAATTGCAGAAACGGCGCTAACAGGGAAAAGCTGCTAGATATCAGGCACTGATGCCGTAACAGGTAAAAAAAGAGTAATCATATTAGTCAAGGAAGACCAAAGTTGTGAAAATATGCTGTCTTCAGAATTCAAGTCTAAACCCGACATATTTCCATGCTGACTGAAGTGAATGAAATTTCTTTCTAGCTAGACAGCTTTGATCCAGTCTTCCAGCAAAAATACCCCAACCCAGTGCAGAGTAGGAACATTTGTGTGACAAAGGCTATATATATGATTCAGAAAGGTCTGTTACTGCCTGATGTTGGGCTAACTGCTTGGGCCTGGTCCTGCACCTATGTACTTGGCTGTGTGTTCACACAGGGACTAACAGAAGCCTGGACATCAAAGAAATGGGTGAGGCATTTCCAACAGAAGAGTGGGCTGTTATTCTCTCTGTAAAGAGCTATTATGTTCATAAAAACACCCCAGTCTGGTTTAGTGGGAAGTTAGAATGGCAATCATTTTCCCATTAGCAGCAGCATAATCTCATTTTTCATGTGTACTTCGTATCCACAAGCCTTAAAATAGATCTTGTCTCTGTGTTTTATGAGGACTGATGCTGACATTAATATCTCTCCATGCCCTATGCCTTTTTCTGAAAGAAAATTGTCATGTAAAAAACCCTTGTTCTTCTAATTAAGATCAAATCATTTGCAGAGTACATTATATTTTGAACCTGTCACTTCAGAGCATATACATCACATTGACTTGTATGTGGTGTGGTCATTCAGCCGTGTGAGCGAAGGATTATGCAGAGGCTT